CAACGGAATAAAATATTCCATTCCCTGCCGTATCACATCCGTAATCGAATCGGCAGAGCAGGACACTTCATTCGAAGAGAAGCACACTTGCCGCCACGGATAGGATACAAAAAAGTGCCGCATCTCATACCAGGCTGCTGACTGGACCAGAGGAGGGATGATGGATAAGGATTTCACCAGGCAGTGATCAGATGATCCCAGCGGAGCTGAGACAGATATCGAGTGCCTGTCTGGGTCTGTTGTCAGCAGAAGTATCAAGGAATTGGGTGTATGTCCGGCTACATCTGGTACCCGCATCGCTACTTGAACCAGCTGAGAGATATCTAGCGATAAGGCAAGTTTGCGCACCTCTCTTCCAGTATGGTCAGTTTTCTCGTATGGCAACAACCATTCTTTGTGGTGGGCGTTGAAATTCCCGAGAAAAACTAGTTCTGCCGATTGACACCGTTGTTGGGCTTTATCTGCCAACCCTGTCAGGTGTTCAATGACCCTGGTCGTTTCCTGGTCTCCACTGTGCGATCAATAGACACAGGCATAGAGGGTTTTCTCTACACCGGAGTCCATCAAGCCACATTGCAGAAAACCCTGAAAATTCATAGCAACGGAGACGCCGACTGCAAATCTCGTCGCGGACGTACACAAAGAATTCAGCGCGCGGTTTAAACTTATTTTCAAGCGATTTTCTTTCGGTGATTTTTGGTGGGGAAAAAGATCAGTAATCGAGACGCTGCTCAATATACCAACTAAAGACTCAAGAGCTTAGCCAACCAAAGGGGAACTCATTTGGAGACCGCTGGGACATGCGAGCTACTTTGCCCCTGAATCCGACGGGAGGGTGGTAGCAAGCCAGGCAGACCCTTGCAAGGCCTACCACCGCATGATGGGATCTTCAGCCGTCACCATAAGCTAAAGTAGCCAGTGATACCGTTGCCCAGGGTGGACCGCTCGGAGGTAGATCCCAGCCACCCCAAAATGTCAATATCGCTCTCGTTTTAAATGGCTTACTATAAAGCAGAGGTTTTTTGAATTATGCTTGTTCTCTTCTCTATCTTAAGATAATGATACATCCACTCCTTCTTATCTATCAGTGTATTTCCTCAACACATGATAGAGCTCTGCGTGTCTAATAGAACTATAGAATAAATATCTCTCAACATTTAAGAAATTTCGTTTGTTTATCTTTCACTGAAAAACCCTAGCGTAGCTCCACCGTGCTAGTTATCGACCAGACTGTTGGATCCGATTGCGATCTGGGGGTTTAGGCTTCCGTAGTTTCCAGATTAAGCTCTCAATGGTGCAGTAGTAGTCGTGTCGCTAGGTTATAAACACAAAGAAGAGCTAAAAAGAAAAGTACGGTTAAACAGTGGTTGCATGTCCTCTCACTAAAAGTGCACCTTTTAAATTAATATCCGGGGATTGCTCTCTTATTACCTTCTCGAAATTGAAAAGCCGCCCCTACTTTTCTTGATGGGTACGAAAATTGGATGTCCGTTGAATGTGGCCTACCTAGAATATTCCTGGATTCTCCCTTGAGCCTAAATTTCACCCACGTGACGGAGTCTGTGTGTCTGCAATGACATGTACTTCTTACGTCTTCGTTTCTTTGAAGACCCACTATCTCTACTATATGGGTGTTGGTACAATCTACCAACACCTATATAGTAGAGAAAGTGGGTACATTCAGTCTATCAATCGCACAGTGGTGATTAGGAGACATCTCGGTTATTTGAACAACTAAGTGAGGCAGCAGCCTCACTACTCATTGACACATTCACACTACCTGACACCGATTGAGGTCTTCCTGGTCGTCCTGGGGGACTTTAACGCCTGTTACTAAGACTCACTGTTCCTTTACCAGAATAACGATCATGTTGCGAGAGAGGCGTGGAATTTTGTGTCCTGTCGCTAGGCAGTAGCTTACCTCACCTTTGGGTACTTCGGACCACTGTCTGCTGATATTTCCATCATCATATTTCCCAATCCGGCTACAATTCCTGAGGTGTTCCGACGAATATGGCGTTTCATGTCATCAGATTGGGATGAGGTGCGGCACTTTTTTTGTATCTTATCCTTGGCAGGATGTCTGCTTCTCTTTTTCGGATCCGTCGAGTTACGTGGCTTTTATATTTTTTTTATAGAATAAGGGATGCTGTGGTCCATAGACATCTACATTTACTCTCGATTAAGAATCAAAATGCTGATGCGTTATCACCCCTGAGGGCTAAGATGGAATGCCTCGTTTCCAGTAAAAAGGGTCTCCTGTTTTCTATACTCACCAAACGAAACACAGCAGCATTAAGCTGCTATTTTACGCTGGTATTCTGTGAGAACGTGGTCCTGTCCCGATCGAGCCGACCCATTCGTGCTACAACCATAATATAGCTGCAGAGTGGCTCTACTACGTTTAAACCGATGTATAACGTAAAGCAATGGAGTATATTATACCCTTTCCTGCTGCAAGTTGAAAAGCGTAAGCACTTAGCGTATCTATTGTGGGTTGTGACGCTTGAGACCGCAAAGCTCCGCATCACTAACAAAGAGGTAGTTAAAACCGTGTGGGGTCTAAACGGGAACAAAGCTAGGAAGCCAGATGGTATACCAGCTATAGTTCTAAAGGTGTGTGCACCCAAGTTGTTTCCACGTTGTTGTTTGTTGACACGCCTTCTTCCGCCTCTCACTAGGGACTGGAATAGTGCCCAGATCCTGTTGTTGTCTCAGTTGGCCAATGTGCAGCCTGTTTTAAAAAAGTCAGCCGCAAAAGCAACCCTGCTAATATTCGGCCAATCTCAATTAATATAATATGGAGGCTCTAGGGCAGAATGAGGAAGTTATTGGTGTTTCCGTTGATGTCTCGAAAGCTTATGATAGGGTCTGCCTTACTAGCCTTTTCGATAAGTTTTCAGCGTACAGCTTATTCCCTAGTTTTAGTTAGGTGAAAAGCTTTTTGAGTGAACAGTCTCTCCGAGCTGTAGTAGAGGGCTTCTATTCTGAGCCTATGTCTACTAATACAGGGTTTCCTACCTAAATAGTCTGATCTCTCCGCAACTCTTCCAGCTGCATACAATGACGAAATATAGATTACAGCACAGTTGTAGATAGATATCAAGTGAGTGTTCGGACCAGCCGGGATTAAATCCAGTCCGAAAGAGTTGCTATGGTTGATCGTGCGACCGATGTTAGACGATGCTAATCTCGTGAGATTTAACGCCCCTAAAACACAAGAGTGTCTCTTCACCATGAAAAGGAGCCAGCTCCTCTTGGCTCCTTCTTTCTCAAATATGTTATTGGAATTCACCAATAGTTTTCAGTTGCTGGTTGAGGTTTCTTCCAACCTAAGCTTTAGCTTTTTTTGTTTATTGAGTCTAGGGCCAAAGCTGGAAGAAAGTTAAGTATACTTGCAAAGTTGCGGCAATACTTCAGGTCGGGACAGTCGCTTCCATTATATAAAGCGCAAGTCCGGACGTTCATAGAGTATTGCTGCCATACACGGACTAGTGCTGCAATATATCACCAATCTTACCAGCCTCGAGCACAGGCGTAAAGTGGTCAGCCTTTCGGTTTTTTTTTCAGGATACATATCGGAGAGTGTGCGCAGAAATTGCATGACTTAATTCCTCCCTCTCCATTCCATCATGGGACCACGAGACGCTCGCCTAGTCTTCACTTTTTGTTGTCGTATTCGAATCAAATGATTTGATTCATCGTTTATAATGCGTACTGCAAAGGAGTGGAATAATTTGCCAGCATTTGTCTTCTCAATGGATCATAATGTGGGTGTCTTCAAGGCAAGAGTGAATAGGCTTTTGTTAGGCTATGTTAGTGCACTTAACCATCTTTGGCTCCATCATCTCTTACTATCAGGTGGGATAGTAGTCAAGCACTGGTTTATAATAGCAAAAAAATTTTAGGTAAAGATTTATCTTCATCTGTCGTTTCAGGTCTTCGACTGAGCAATCTTGATGAAGGACCAAGTTTATCTGAATGTAGGTTTTCAATCTTTTTTCTCAACAGTTCTCCTTGGTATACTAAAATTATTTTCGATCTTAAATGGCGACATTTTTTGTCTTGACCATCTCAATAGCCAATTTCATTATATGCCCGGAGTAATTTTTATAAGGCTTTCCCCATGTTTTCAGCGGTGTCTTTTATTTGGGGGACACATATTTTCTGAAACAAAAATGAGTTTTCCCCACATAACAGAATTCTGGTCTTTAACCTATTTAGTTACGTGTATTATGCTTTGCAGATGGCCATAGTTTTAAATGACACAACTCGGTCCAGAAATTATGAAATTATTACAATTTTCTAAACGCTTAATTTAAAACTCGGCACCCGCCGGCCGCCACGAGCGATGACGTCATCTTTCACTCTCGTCTCGCTCCGCTCGCGTTGAACTGAACACTCTACCGCATTCAATCGTAATGCCTCCTCTACACTACTCGCGAAGTAGATCGAAGTTGGACGAGGCGAATAGTGTAGAGAGGTACTTCGATTCGCTTCGTGCAACCTCGCTTCGCCTCGGGCGAGTTCCGATCGCTGTCGGTTTTTTGCACCAGAGTCAAAAGACTTCGCGAAGTACACTGAAGTTACACGAAGCGTCTCCCTACACTACTCGGCTTACGCCAGTTATGAATATATATTTTTTATATATAAATATGAAATATGTAGCTTTCTTTATTATTTGTTTAGTTAACGTACTGTTCACACAATAAGGTACCTAAACTAGCAAGACGACTGAGCTCTTCACGAAGTAGCACGAGTGACGAAGTGCTCGTCGACTTTGACGAGCACTTCGTCAACGTTACTTCGCGAGTAGTGTAGAGGAGGCACAATAAAATTCACTTTTGCGGTTGTAAACTACCTACCTGTTTTGAAATTAAATGTATTTATAAGGTTATTTATATTATGAAGGGAATTTTAAGAATTTTGCAAACAAAATACACGTCAGATTAGGCTGTAAGAGCATTTGGCATAGATCCCTTTGCCTGTTAAAAAAATACATTGACAGGTGATCTATAACACGTTGTTTTGAGGTTATTTCTTCATAATTTTAATATTTCAAAAAGTTTTTCGACATAAAAATGGGTAAAGTAAGAAAGCGAAAACCAAACAAAACACAAAATAATATCCTCGCAGAAAATTTTGATGAGGAACTTCCTGTGGATTCTAAGGAAAATGTTATTCAAACTATTTTGGATCAACTTCAAGTAAGCTATTTAATATTTTACTTAAGTATTTAAAAGTATTTGGTATAAACAAATCATTAATAATTTATTGACAGGGAGTAAACGTGGAAGAAAAATATTGTGGCTTGCAAACATTTGCCCTGCTTATAGAAAGTCCAGAGAACATTGAGCAGACAATAGAGCGAGGTCTAGTTAAAGTTGTGGCGCCGCTATTATTGGATCCTGCAGGGTCAATTAGGAATGCTGCTGCTGGAGTTTTAAGAAACCTTTCTGCAGTTCAACTGGAAGTTTGTGACTCCTTGATGGAACAAGATGTAATGACACCATTACTCTGTTATTTCCATGAGGTGATTAAGCATATTTTTAAGAACTTTTCTAACTTAACATAATAAGAAGATTTATAAAATTTTCATTCCATAACATCATAAATCAAGTGATCATGAGCAGTTAGGATTTTGAAATTAAAGAAAAAATTATTATGGCAATATACATGAACCTAGTACAATAGTTATATTATGATGTTGTGCTTACTTACTTGATTTTTTCATTTTGCTAAAGTGAGTGTGTTATTCTAGCTAATATTTGACGTGGTAGCCATGCAGCAGCTATAATTATGGTTGTAGCAGGAATGGGTTGGCTTGACCAGGGTAGGATGCTTGTACACTGTGACAATACCAACATAAAATAGGTGGTTAATGCTGCTGTGTTTCTTATCGTAAGTGTAGAAAAGGAAGACCCTTTCTACTGATAATGAAGCATTCTATCTTAGTCCTCAGGGGTGACAATGCGTCTGCATTTTGATTCTTTAATTGAGAATAGATGTAAATGCCTATAGGTCACTATAAAAAACAAATTACAAACAATAGGTCATTATAGATTGATAATATCAAATGATAGTTGTACACAGGTTGATTGGAAAATTGACACACACATCCAAATTCATAAGTTAATTTTCTGCTGTAAGACTGCATAATGTGCCTAAATATTTTCATATTACATTAAAAAAATGGACAATTAATCCAAAGTAAAATATTATATGATATCATCCATATCTAGTAACCTTACTGAAACAGAAGCATTCATGATTTGAACCACTAGGAATATACCATGGAATTGTTGATATAAAACCCTTAAAGTTATGACATTTCTAATTGGAAACTATCTAGAAGTATCAATTGTATTATTTGATGGTAATTCATAGAATCGGATGTTACTTCATAGAAATATTTGAAATAAATATTTCCTGCCAATAATGTGAACTGTTGGTTTATACATTTTTACAGCATACAGAGACCTGGACCCCAGAAATAAATTCAAAAACAAAATCAGAGGATGTTGATACCATTATTCAATGCATTAATCTACTATTGAATCTGTGTGAAAGTTCAGGTAAACAACTGAGATATTTTTATTTAACTAACTTTGGAAGTAACTATAATTTTTATTATTTTTATTCTTTGTCTATGTATTTACTAAGTTCTTAAATCTAATCTTAAAAGCCATAAATTGTATATGGTCAAGAAGTTTTTACAGTTATAAGCACAATATAACCCATCTATTTCTTTTTTTTAGATTTGGCTGTTAAATATCTGGGACAATCAAGAGTTTTAAGTATATTACTCCCGAGGTATCTAGACATTGCTACATTTGGCTGTGATATAGTATCTGCTGTATTGCAATGTTTATTTGTTGTTGTTGAAGACAATCCTGATGTTATGGAAAAAGTTAAATCAACTTGTGAGAAACAATTACAAGAACTTATGGTGATTGAAAACAGTGATCCTTCATATTTGCTTATCAAAACATTAGCTGCAGGAGTAATAATAAACACATGTGGAGGCAACATGGCAGTGTTACCTGTCAATGTCATTCATCAAATTGTTACAATACTAGCAAAGACACTATCTATAGATCATAGGTTACTTTGCAATCAGCTCTCCAGTAGTGTACCTTTGGTTAATGGGAGTGACAAACTTGAATCACTTCAAGGAAAGGAAGCTCAAGTATTGGAAAATCAGTTGAAGTCTGTGTCTCACATGTTAGATGCACAACAGAGATCAATAGAAATTATTGCAAACATTTGCTCATGTGATGGTAAGAAATATTTATTATAATACTTAGAAAAAAGCTGAATTTTTCTCAAAACTTTTGTTTAAGTACAAAATATTGATATACCTCAGAATTTTGATACAAGTGTACAACTACCTAAAACCACAGAATAAATAATAGTACAAGAACAGAAGGATCACTCTGATAGCAAACTTGCGACTTAGTTATAACGTCGTTAATGTTCATGATACTTTGCACGCCTCGGAAGTGACCTTCGTGAAATTAGCCTACCGTTTATGCAGTCGAAAAAAAATTACGCGGCGCGTGTATTAAATCAAAATGCACCTTAATCCTCTTGCAAGTAGCCCATTACGCGCTTTCGTTAAGACCACTTCTACAGTAGGGTTAGGTGTTGTGAGAAAACAAATTGATATTCGTTGGTATATAGTAGAATACACCGAGGTGTTAGGCAATGTATTAGTATTTTGTTTTGTTAAAAAAAACGTTACCCCCACACTAGGATTTTCTCCTGTATTGTTGAGGCAGTTAAGAAACAAATTGTACAAGGACAAATATACACTAAACCCGGAACAATTATTTGTAGGCCATACAAATACTTGTTCCATGTGAGATTCGAACCCGCGGTGCCAGCGTTGCAACTCATTGCTAAGCCAGTGCACCGTGATAGCCATCAATTTGCTGATAATAAACACTTTATTGTTCATTGTGAGGAAGGTTAATATGCTACATCGAGGAAAATTAAGATTATAACAATGTGAACGTCTTTGAAACTTAGATAATTTACCTACTTACCATTTTTAACCGACTTCAAAAAAAGTTACTCAATGTGACTGTATTTTTTACGTGCTACCTCAGAACTTTTTTTCTAGGTGAATCGATTTTGATGATTCTATTTTTATTTGAAAGCTGGTGCTTATAATTTATACATCCCATATAAATTTGATCAAGATCTGACCAGATCTGATAAAGTGTGACATTCTTGTACTGACCAATGCCATATAGAGCAATGTTCACTAGATGAAGTAATTGTATGATGAGGAGTGCAGTAAGTCAGTGGGTGCAGATGACACAGGGCCGTGCTTAGTGGCGATACTAGGAGAGACCTATGCTTAGTAATGGACATGTTGATGGGCTCTTAATGATCATGATCATAAATCATAAATTGTTAACTCAAATTTTTATTTGCTAGAATCACAGTATGAGATCTATCAACTTATCCTTGTTATGTTACCCAAAAAAATCATGCAAATAATATTTTTTAAGTCTTATATTTCATGTGTTTGTTAATTATCTAAAAAGTACCAAAACTAACAAAAAAAAAAAAGATCTTTTAAGTCAAATACTTTTAGTTGTTAACCAATCATACAAATGATTCTTGTATCATCATCCACTTAATAATTTAGATTCTTTAGGCATTTCATTATATATTTTCATTCACATATTTTAGACATTATTGATGAGTATATTGGCACACATAATATTATATTGAAAAAAAGAATTTTTATTGTTAATTCAACTTCTTTTATGTTTTTATATTATAGACGCAAATGACGAAATGGATGGACCTGAGTCTTCTGACAGTGATGAATTAGGAGATGAAGATGAATGTAGCAATGGTGAAGAAGTAGCTCTTGTAGAGGACAAGCTTCCACCAGAGATTTTAGAAGCTTTAATATCTTTAGAGATATTTGATAAAGTGTGGGCTCGGACTCAGCTACCAGCAGATAATGTTATGTTAATATTAGAAGAGTATGAGGGTTCAAAATTAATTCACAAAAAGTAAGTGTTCTTCTCAAAATTTGTTTGATATGTTTTAAACTGTTTGTTTGATGGTGGTAACTATACAGGTGACCAAGTTCTTGTAAATATACTACCTTTATTTTTAGTTTCATCTATTGACCGTTTGTTTTGCAGCTTTTGTTTTCATTTATATAAAGCATAACAAAAAATAAGAAAAGAATGTATGTCACTTCAACTTTGCTTAGGAACAAATAAATAGTCACAGATCAATAGTTTAGTCAAGTGTATACACATCTCAATATGTCATAAGATACATTGATGTATCTGATGTTCAACTGATTAATCAAAATGCAAATTGATGTTCGTACATACTAGTTCGTTCATACAAGTTGACATAACAGTTCTTCGATAAATTATTTATCACCTAGCGATAAGAAAGATCTCTTTGACTAGATATTTTATGTACTTGGAGATTTCATTGTTGTGTAAAAGTTATTGGTTATTTTTTGTAGGTTTTTTTGCTGTTTATTATTATTGGATATGTCCCATAGTTTTCTTCAATCACTTATCATCATTAGCGACATTTATATTATTGTTTCCTTTCTGTATTTATTTTAATGTATATTAGCCTATTTAATTGTATATACATTTATAATATTTATTTTGTATATATTAGTGTTTTAGTGTAGTAGTATATATTATATTATTATGTTATTACAATATAATATATTTGTTTAGTTTATTTAGCTAGTAATATTTAAGTTTTCACCTCCCACTATCTAACAGTTCAACTTTTTCTTCAATGAGGTTGTCTGGAAGACCGCCTTATTGTACTTATCTCTTTAAGTTTATTTCTTGTAATTTGTTTTGAAGTGAAAACATCTTTAGCATCGTTGTGATTTGAAACTCAATGAAACAAAAAAGCGACACTATAAAGAGACAAATATATTATTTTTTTTTGGAGTTTATGGCCTGGTATCTAGACCTTTAGGCCAAGTCTTAAGTATTTTTATTCGGTTTATTGTAATTTTCCCACTCCTTCATAGTATACTGCTTCACAATATGTTGATGCGTCACATTGTGCAGTTCTTGGGAGATTTTGGCGGCAACTTGATCCAGCAGACAGCTGATAGTTGGCGATGGTATCTAAAGGTGCCTATGCAAACAAACAGCTTATCTTGAGAATCCATCACCATCAGAGCACTTGTTTCACTGTTTCCACTAATAGTTCACATGCGTAGACACTTAATACACAAAATCGCAACACTTTTACATATCAAAGTCCACTTCAAACCATTATTTAAACAATAATACAGGAGCAGCAAACCGCCGCCGGTCAATTTCCCGCCAAAACTCAGAGACAAATATATACACATCTATAAGATAGATGAGGCAGAATCTATTTATACTAATAATATAATAAAGAGAAAGAGTTTTTTTTTGTTAGTTTAAACACGCTAATCTCTGGAACTACTAGTCCGATTTGATAAATTCTTTTTGTATAATATGATAGCTAGATTTACGAGGAATAGTATAGGCTGTCTGGCAGTAAACTACACCTCTCAGCTAGCCTTAAATATTGATAATTTTGATTTTTGCGTAGTGTCATGTCGCGCGACGATACCGCGGGGAACAGCTACTTCAGTATAAATATAAAGTGCTTCCTATTTATTATCTTGGTCTTCTCTGTGTGCGGTACATTAAAAATGGTTAATATTACTTTTAACTGCTAAAATAAATTATAAATTTATTTTTGAATAAATGAAATTAATTAAATTGAATAAAATTATCATATCCCAACCATTCGTAACAATCTATGATTTCATAATATCTGACCGATTTATATTAAATTAGACGTGTTTAGGCCATCTTATTTTTGTTGGATAAAATGATTTTACCTATAAAATGAAGTAGAGGTCGCTATTACAAAGCAATATTACTCGAATGAAAATATTCTTTTGATTTAATACACTAAAATTTAGACTACATGTCTGAAAATAATTTTTGTTACATTTATTTGCTAAATTCAAATTAAACTCACTTTTAAATGAAATATTTTTGTTTTATATTTCATTTAATTTGGAGATTTCACTTCTACACGCATGTTTTTTTTATATAATTTAGTATATACAAATAATAATTACTGGTGTTAGTATCAACTTAAAAATCAAATGCACATTATCTACTGACAATATTACGTTTCACTTAATCAGCCAATAAACATTTGTATCATAAAAAAATATTCAGTGTAGTGTCATTATTAAGGGAAGATAAAGAAAGCTGTTTATATAGACTAACTTCCACCCAGATATCACATGAATAGGGATAACATAGATTTCCGCAAGGGGATAAGAGTCCTTAGACCTACAGGAACCTTCTTCTTCTCAAGAATAAAGTAACTAAAGTAAATGACAAAGTGGCGTTTGAAATAATCATAATTTTTATTGAAATCTGAAACAAACTGTGGTTATGAAATACTATTGTCTAACATTATTTTAGAAATTGTCTGAAAAGCTTGATTCTGGAAATCCTAATAGATTTGTGTACAAATTTATTCTCTCAAATTCTTGCGGGACACTGGAATTCTAGTATTGCATTTACTTTCTGTTGTCTTGCCATACAATGTTATTACGACTGTCTTGACACATATTTTGTTTTATTTTCAGAGTCCATACATTGCAAACAAGGGCTTTGTTATGTGTAAACAATATGATATCTAGTCTTCCAGTAGAACACTTAGGTGGTGTGAATGGTATTTACAAAATATGGGTTAACATAGGAAAACTAGTCTTTAAGCAGAGCACTGACAATCTGTACATATTAGAATCCGCAACAGCCGTTATGAGAGCAGCTTTGGACAAAATAAAGTTTAGAGAAAATGGAAAATCTGATGAATGTGATCTCTTCCGTGACTTGTCTCTGTCAGATATAGAGGTAAGGTATAACATTATATGGTTTCTAAAAAACAAATAATCTTTGTATATCTAACTTATGACGTTAGTTTCTTTAAATGTTAGTTGGATACCTACCATCAACTTTTGTACATTATTTATTTTCCCATTTGAAGGTTGTTTTGTTTGAATGGGATATATAAATGTTGTATTTCAACATTCACCGACTATGCCGTTCACCTCCGTGTACGGCATAGTCGGAAAGGGTCGCCCTAGGCGAAAGTTTATCGACCAAATTGGCGATATATTAAAAATGGGCCAAATCAAGAGTACCTTTAACCGACGAGCGTGTATGCGTAGGTATATGGATGTGGAGGAAGCGAGAGAGGTGTGTCAGGATCGTGCCAAATGGAAGTCCATAATCTCTGCCTTCCCCTCTGGGTGACAGGCGTGAGTGTTTATGTTATGTTATGTATTTCAACATATCTCCATGTTTTGTAAATATGTCGTCAACAAAATTATTTTTTTTTAGTTTAATTGTACAATGAACACCTTGTTAACTTTATATTCTAATTGATTCTGTTGTTTTTTGACACAAACTTCTTATCAAATGAGACATAGTATTAATGGTATAAGATCATGATTGGTAGGCCGATTGACGACTGCAATACCAGATGTCTGACATAAACACATTGTTTGCTGACCACTTGGTTGATGATATAAATAACTAAATACATGACTATTTCATGATATGTTTAAACATTGTATGGTCATATCGGAAAATATTTCGATTATTCACTGTTAGCGGTACTGCTAGAGCATTTTCAATAATTGACATAACTTAATACCTAATTTGTATCAATCGCTGATACTACTAGACGCTTGGATGGCCAAAAGAGAATGGACAAAGCAACAAACATTGACATTTTTATAATATGGAAAGTAATAAATGGCTATATATCATGATATGGTCAAATTCCACAATCTGGCCACGACATAAAATGATTTCTCGGAAATGACTCCAACGATTTAAATGAAATTCTGTAATTAGATAATGTTTTACTTTCCAAGTTTATCTATCATCACTAAGAATTTGTTTCTAACACAGTAAAATTTGGTCGCCCATGTTGCCTATATATGGAAGAGCAAATATAATGTAAAAATTTCTTTTAGATGATGATTACAGGCATTAAAGAATGTCAAGTGCCGGAGATAAGATCGAACCTTATTCGAATGATTGGAATATTGGCATTACTGCTAGTAAACAAATTGAACGAAACTAGTTCAAATGTAATATGTGCCATCACGGAATTCATATTGGAACAAGCTCACAAAGAAAATGAAGTATGGGTGTTAGCTGAAGCTATAGACACTTTAGTTGATTTATATTCTGAAGATGACACTGATGCACTTGCTGCTAAAGTTAAACTTGTTGAGAAACTAGCTGTATTAGCTCCAATATTAAAAAATAAGGTAATATATTTTCGACGACGTATTTTTTAATAATTTAAAATGTTATTAATTACTAATAAACTTTTTAATTTAAGGCACGACAACAAAGAAAACTTCCACGAGAGTACAAAGTCCTTGTCTCCACTGCGACGTCAAATTTACCGCGATTTATTAAGTACAAAAAAGATCGACTCAGTAAGTCATAAGAAAGACAGGTTTC